TAAATGACATAATAACATAATTTTTTCAAGAAATCTATGCCAAGGAAGCAGTATATTTTTGTACAATCAGCATAATATATAGATTTGACTTTGTATGTGAAAGTATTATAGTTACCTTATAATACAAGTAATAACATGTTTGGAATCATGATTGTAAACAAGTATTCCAACTTTCAAATTAATATCTCAAACAGTTCAGTCAAAAAAGTGGACTGGTACTTAAAAAACTTAACCAAGATTCTAAGTCGATAAAAGGCCTTAATTTTTAAAACAAAATCCTTGACAGAGTTACCTTCTCTTGCGTACAGATGGGGGTAATGATGTGAAATAGCATTAAAAGTTTCAAAAGCAATATCTCAAAGGGTTAAGGCAATAAGTGGATTTTACCCATATTCAATGTATTTTCTAAGTCAAAAAGGGGCATAATTCTGTCAAAAAAACCTTGACAGAGTTATGTCCTCTTGTCTGTTGATGAAGGTCGTGATGGTAAACAAGTATGGTCAGTTTTCAAAAGCAATACCTCCAATGGTTTGAAATAAAGTGAGGTGGTACAAAAAACTTAACCAAGCTCAATACACTTTCTAAGTCAAAAAAGGGGCCATAATTCTGTCAAAAACCTTGACAGAGTTATGTACTCTTGTCTGTAGATGGAGGTTATGATGGTGAACAAGTATGGTAAGTTTCAAAGCCATACTTGTAATACTTCTGAAATAAAGTGGGGTGGTACGAAAAACTTAACCAAGGTGTGACGCCAACGCGACGCCGACGCCGACGCCGACGCCGGGGCGAGTAGGATAGCTCCCTTTCATAGAAAAGTCGAGCTAAAAAGTGATACATGAATACACATAAATAGCATATGATAATGAATCAAATAAGATTTCTATTGAGAAAAGTATTTGAAAATGAAGATAAGCGTATTTATTTAATCCATATTTCACTCACAAGTTTTATGAATATATAATTACCAGTTCAAAATAACAAGTACTTTATTTAAGAAATGGCCTTATATGATAATACAATTTTCCAATATTCTATAAATAACTAATAATTTACATGTATATAGGTATAGCAATGTTATTAAGAATTAACTAACACCTGCTTAGAAAATCACATAGTTAGAAATAATATATTAAAAAAGTTACTTAAATTTAGCCATTTTTGATTATATCAACATAAGAATTTATTGAAAATAATCTAGAAATATGTACATTTTAACTTTTTAATTAATTGTCTTTAATTGCTGAACACATTCTTGGAAATTCCGATGTGTTCTAAATATAGAATACCTTTATTTGTGAGGCCCGGAATGAGGTACATAAATTATGCATTATTTTGGACGAAGAGAAGCATTTTCCCGTACACATTTTGTAACGAAGCATAATAGTATGTCTAATGTTATATTAGTCCTCTTTATCGCCAGAAATCGATGATAAGTTCATTTATCTTGAGTTTTAATAAATATTGTCAATCAGAGTATACAGCATACATTTAAATGCCGGTACGCATATCCGGTACCTGTACCCTGACTCATTTACACTTCAATGAAGGGATTGTATGCGTGAAGAAAAAAAAAACACAAGTTCTATATTGTAATGTAGTTCTTTGACTAAGTTATAATCATCAATAAATAAAAATAAAACCATTGACATTAAGTTTAATGAATATTTCAAGTAAACAAATATTACGGCGTATAATAAGCGCCGGTAGATTTATCCGTACCTGTATCCCGACCACATAAACATATAAAATGAACGCACTATATTCGGCTAGCCGTATCTTGAATCTTGAATGCAAAGGATTGACCCCATCATCCATACTAGAAACAATATCTTCCCTTTCCTTTTTCCGACAAACATCCTTCGTGTTACCACCTCCCACACATATCTTCATCACACCCATTACCAAAATATATCATTAACTTCAATCATCAATTTTCCCATGAACACCACAAACACTAACAAACATAACTAGCAGCTATTCTCTCAGCCATAGTATCTTTCTCCCGAGCTTTCCCTCTTCCTTCTGTCTACGTTTTAATTCCTGTATTCACAGTTTTTTCTTCAGTTTTTCTTTCGCTTTCTCCTCTTCTCTTTTCTGCCCCTTTCAATTTCCTTTCCTCTACTTCCTTCTGCTTCTCATATCCGGCGCCCTTCTGGTTCCGTTTCCTTGTTATCATTTACTGCTTTGTTTCTTCTGTGTAAAGCTGTTCATTTTTTCCTGCATATACAATTAAATAAAATGTGAGGTGTATAAAACAAGGGGCCCATGATGGCCTGAGGTCGCTCACCTGTAATATAGCCCGCCCCCACCCCCCAGGTCAATTTATACCCGGCGCGCTTTTATTTGAACGACTTGGAGCCCATGAAAGATGCTTTCACTACGCTAAACATTAAGTTCCTGCTCTTGGGTTTTTTTAGAGATTTTTATAAGTTTTACCTAACACATATAGTTTTAAAACTGACCCTGGGGAGGCCAGTATTTTGACCCCGGCCTTAATTATTTGAAAACAACTTTGGTGATTATTACTTAAGATGTTTCATTATAATATCTAAAAACTCAAGCTATTGGGTTTTTCAAAGAAGATTTTAAGTTTTTGCTATACACATATAAGGAAAATCAATGACCCCGGGGCATGGGGGCCAGTTTTGACCCCAGGGCTTTTATTTGAACATACTTGGTAGACACCCATTAGAACATGTTTCATGCTAAATATCTTAGCTCTAGCTCTTTGAGTTCTTTAAAAGAAGATTTTTTAAGTTTTTACTATATGCATATAGGGAAAATCAATGACCCCCTGGGGCGGGCCAATTTTGACCCCAGGGCTTTTATTTGAACAAACTTGGTAGACACTCACTAGAAGATATTTCATGTCAAATATCTTAGCTCTAGCTCTTTGGGTTCTTTAAAAGAAGATTTTTTAAGTTTTTACTATATGCATATAGGGAAAATCTATGACCCCCTGGGGCAGGGCCAATTTTGACCCTCAGGGCTTTTTATTTGAACAAACTTGGTAGACACTCATTAGAAGATGTTTCATGCTAAATATCTTAGCTCTAGCTCTTTGGGTTCTTTAAAAGAAGATTTTTTAAGTTTTTACTATATGCATATAGGGAAATCAATGACCCCCTGGGGCGGGGACCAATTTTGACCCAGGGCTTTTTATTTGAACAAACTTGGTAGACATTCACTAGAAGATGTTTCATGCCAAATATCTAAGCTCTAGCTTTTACAGTTCTTTAAAAGAAGATTTTTTAAGTTTTTACTATATGCATATAGGGAAAATCAATGACCCCCGGGCCGGGGCCAATTTTGACCGCAGGGCTTTTATTTGAACAAACTTGGTAGACACTCACTAGAAGATGTTTCATGCCAAATATCTTAGCTCTAGCTCTTTGGGTTCTTTAAAAAGAAGATTTTTTAAGTTTTTACTATATGCATATAGGGAAAATCAATGACCCCCTGGGGCGGGGCCAATTTTGACCCTAGGGCTTTTATTTGAACAAACTTGGTAGACACTCATTAGAAGATGTTTCATGCCAAATATCTAAGCTCTAGCTCTTACGGTTCTTTAAAAGAAGATATTTAAAGGATTTTTCTTTCGGTTGCCATGGCAACCAGAGTTCTGCATGAAATGGAATTCTTTGAACAATCTTGATAGAGCTTCATACAAAGAGTATTCCTGCCAAGTTTTTCATTAACATTGGCCTTGCAGTATCATAGAAGATGTCCTTTAGAATATTTAAAATGTGGACGGACGACAGACCGACGGACGCCTTTGGTTGGCCATCCTAAAAGCTCACCTGCACTTTGTGCAAGGTGAGCTAAAAATACACAACGTAAAGTAAACAAGAAAATTGAACTTGCCCGTATTAATATGAACGTTGCGTATTATAAAATCGTTGCGTACCGCATATATTTTATTACTTTTATTTAACAATGGGAATCATAATATATTAAAATGTATAATGTAAAGTGCTTGTAAAAAGTAATAACGAAAAGTCCTGTAGTCAAGACAACGTCTACATACCTTAAGCTGCATGTAGCATTTTCCTCTCCAGTAAGGACCTGGGAATATGAAACCCAATACGGCTAATAAAATAAGCCAAAAAAAATCTCTGCCCTGTGAACCTTGACCTTGACCTGGTAACCTCAAAGTCATAGGGGTCATCTACTAATCATGACTTACCTTCATGACAATATGAAGAACTGTGGGTCAAAGGAATCTTAAGTTATTGGGCCAGACAAGCTTTTTAAAGTCAAGACACCTGTGACCTTGACCTTTGACCTGGTGACCGTCAAAGTCAATAGGGGTCATCTACTTATCATGACTAACCTAAATGCCAAATATGAAGACTAGAGTCAAAGGAATCTTAAGTTATTGGGCGGACAAGCTTTTTGAAGTCAAGGCCCTTGTGACCTTGACCTTGTTTGACCTGGTGACCTCAAAATCAATAGGGGTCATCTACTAATCATGACTAACCTCCATGCCAAATATATGAAGACTGTAGGTCAAGGATCTTAAGTTATAGGGCTGACAAGCTTTTTGAAGTCAAGGCCCCTGTGACCGTTGACCTTTGACTGGTGACCTCAAAATCAATAGGGGTTCATCTACTAATCATGACTAACCTCCATGTCACAAATATGAAGACTGTAGGTCAAAGGAATCTTAAGTTATTGGAGCGGACAAGCTTTTTGAAGTCAAGGCCCCTGTGACCTTTGACCTTTGACCGTTGCTGGTGACCTCAAAAATTCAATAGGGGTCATCTACTTAAGTCATGACTAACCTCCATGCCAAATATGAAGACTAAAGGTCAAAGGAATCTTAAGTTAATTGGGCGGACAAGAAAAAACCGACAGAAAAATAGCTCTTAATTTGAATTTTATGAGCTTTTGTTCTTTATTTAACTACGGAATGAAGCTCATAAATATCAAATGTTTGCTCGGCCGGACGGACGGCCGGACGGACGGACAACCTGATTCCAGTATACCCCCCTTACAACTTTGTTGTGCGGGGGTATAAAAATCCACATGTTTCACAAGTTGTATTACTTGACGTGTGTTGCTCAGTTTCGTTACCTGAATGTAAAAAGAATATGTTTTAACATCATGATGATAAAAATGAATATTGTTGAAAATTGAATTACAATAAGCAAACAAATTCATTTATAAGGTAATAACAGATACAATATATAAGAAGATATTTAGAAAAGTGCGAACTTTGTGTTACATCAAACGATGAAGGAACAAGCTGGCTTTTATCAATGGCATCTGGGTTGAATGGCTGTATTCCGGTCTCTCGAAATGCGTTCTGAATAGACGCCGGTGTTGTTTGGTCTACAGAGTATTTCAAGACAACCGGAAATTTTGATTTGCCGATTGTAAGTCTCTGACTCACGAATCCCAGTCTGCTCGCAATTGAAGAAAATCTACCCTTTAGTGGTCCTATTATCTGAAACAGTAAAAAATATATCACCTACAAACATGAAAACATGAAAATGATAAAATTGATTTTAAGTAATCTTTCAAATTTGCGATTAAATCCCTTTCATTCATTATTAAATAATATCTTTGTGCTTTACTAATCTATTTAATACTGTTATTAATTATATACTACTTAAATAAATCACATGTTACTGTATGCTGAATACGGTGACCTGTTCGATGACCTGTTCTCACGTCATATACAGTCGAGACTGTCATGTGTGACTTTCCAAGGGATCTTCAGAAAAAGGTCACATATGACAGGGGGTCTCTAAATACAGTCTCAAAGAAAATTAAATTTAAGTATCATCTAGCTGTCTATATACCATTGTGACTTAAAGATCCTTTATGTTTTGTGATTGATATTGTTACAGAGTGTTTACCACACTTGCAAAATAATATATATGGATATAATTATGCAAATAAAACAACTTTCAAACATCAAAGAATATGTAAAATGTGTACTGAAAATATTTGTGCACATTATAATATTTAATCAATGAATTACATGCATTGATTACTAATTGGAAAATTTAACTTAGAATTTATAGAAAATAAAGTTCTAATTACCTCCCTTTAATGGCCTTTATTTATATTAAATGTTAAATTGGGTGATATCTTTATAAATAATGCTTATTTGAACTTACAATATTGACAAATCTTAATTTGAGCATCATTTTTATGAAATAAAACCATGAAAAATTGTGTTACAGGATCTTTCAACATATCCATATCCAAAGCTTTTTCTGGTTTAGTATCAATATTTTTTCCGTATTAATTATGCAGTCATAGAAAGGTAAATAAAAAAAATATGCTGCCTAAAAAATCTTCCATGGGCACTCTATAATTAAAAAAAAAATGTAACACAAGTCTTAACCAGTTTACTCAGGCCATTATGTACATAACACACACATGGATTGCGTCATGCTTCCCATAAACAGACGCTACGTCACTTGATACCTGCATTTATACATGTAAACTGTGTAATTGAGATAGAGGTGTGTAGACTTTGTTTGCTACTGGATTATAATTGGACTTAATTATTTTGGCCCTCTGGGTGTTATAATAGGTATTATTTATCTGATTTAACGGACAATTAAAAGGTGTGAAAGTCGTTTAAATCAGACCAAACATTGCATTGGGACCTGACAATTAGGGTCGCTTGTCACATATGACAGGGAGTCGTTTAATTCAGACCATTTATATAGGAAAATACGTTGGGAGTACTGAAACAAGGTCGGATAAGACAGGGAGTCGTTTAAATCAGGGGGTCGCTAAGGCAGTCTCGACTGTATATATATTTTATTTTTTTTGTTAAAGCAAAACTTACCTTAACATCTAGAGGTTGCAAAAAATGTGTTGTATGTGCAGGTAATCCCATTAAGATAACATCATTTTCAATGGCCTTTTCTATTACTTTCAAGGTGATATGCGAGTCATGATTGTCCATAATTAATAATACTGGTCTTTGTTTGCAGCAGTGTATCAAAAATATCTTTTCAAACCATTGATAGAACAAATCCCCGTCCATATACCCGCTCTCACTGAAGGCAAAGAGCCAAGAGTCGGGTATACCATCGTTGTATGTTCTGTGCGGAAGGGAACCCTGTAAAACGGCATTGATACTGTTATTTCGTTAAAATATCGTATTTTTATAAGAAAAACATATTTGGTGAAAATGTCGTTACTTTAAGGATTATAAGTTGCTTTAAATTTAAGAATGGCAAAAACATACAATGTACCTTGAATATAACCATTGATGGGAGGAATGTTCCATCTGCACATACACACAAATGTCCTGTGATGTGGTCGGTAGTGGTGACCTTCTGCGAAAAGACATGTCCTGTCTTTGGACCTACAACCTTTGTTCTCACTGCCTCTTTCCCGGACCAGCCCGTTTCATCACAATTATAAATCTTAAAAAGTGTGCAATTTCCATCATTATTTTTTTAAAACTTTGTTCCTACAATGTTGTAATCCCTCTATTGATTATAATTATAGATTGAAATTAAAAGAAGAAAGATATTTTTCTGATTTAAAGAAGCCATTGCAATGAAAATTTAACGTACTTAGATGCTGTAACCGATAAGAAATATTGTATAAAATTGATATTTTACTTCAAAAGAAACACTGTACTTATATTGGCATATATTTTATATGAGTACCTGCGAAGGTTTGTCTGTTAAACCATTTTCACCAAGGACTTTTTGCAGGAGAGTAAAGTACTCGGTCGCCACTTTCGGGTTGGACATTCTGGTCCTACTTCTGTCCTGGTTTTCAGCCTTTCGTTCCGACAGTTCCGGATGCCTTTTATAAAATTTCCGGAACCACTCGTCCGACGGACCCTTCTCCAAATTATACAGGCTGCTGCGACCTGATTATAAGAATATAAGTAATATAAGTATATCTACAATACTAGAATTCCTTATTTTACGGAAATGGCCATGAAAGAAATACATGACGCATACCTCGGGAAATAATAGTATTATAATATAAAGGAAATAATTTATGGATCATGTCATTGGGAGACACTCACATTTTGTGCTCTCAGATCCTTGGTTATAGACCCTAGATCGTGTGCATGAATGAGCGAGATATCTATATCTTACAGGTCTAGCGGTAATGCATTGATTATTTCATGATATGGTAGATTTAATGAAAAAAATTGCAACATTATACATGTACTATTTGTTGTAAGTTTTGATTTCTTATATATTTAAAATTATTGTTGGCGAAAGAAAAGGTGAATTTAAACGAGCTGTAAAATTAAGCTATTAACCTGATCTCTTAACAATTTCTACCACATAACACCGTATCATAGCACGTGTCATTGGTAATCCGTGCCGTGCCATGTAAAGCAGATAGTTGACAATACTTGTCTCTTCCTCTTGTGTTAGTTGTTTAGCTGGCCCTCGCTGGTTAGACTTATAAACACCCCTCACATGATCATACAAAGTTGTCACTGGTACACTGTACTCATGGGCAGCCTGTCTGACTTTCAGCCTATTCTGCCACACAGCTGACAGTGCATTTTGAAATGCTTCTTTTGTGTATTTTCTAGATTGCATTTTATAGCTAAAATTTAAAATGGAATATATTGGGCACTAAAATAATAAACTAAATAGCAGTTTGCAATTCAAGCGGTACCTTACAATGCAAGGGTGGTAATTGAGGGAAGAGAAAAGGGCACTTGTCTACCACAGTTAAGTCCCTTGGATTAAAAAATTGACGATAATCTCCCCCTTATCTATATTTTAAAGTTTTCTGCATTTTTCATTTTCCTACTGCAATAATTTACATTTAAAAGTAATAACTTTATTTATACTTCGATTACAAATGACATTTTTTTAAAATATTAAACAAGATTTTATTGAGTCGTCTGCTTGTGTATTCCCGGCAGGTATTATTGGAGAACCATATTACGGGCCTCATGAGGCGCTTTTTCTGCGCATGCGCACAAAAATCGGATGTCCCCAAGTTTACAAGGTCAAATTTTGACAACACACAGGTGTATACGATTTAAAATGTAAATTTTGTTTACCTACTGCGGAACTTACACTTTGATGTTGTCCAGTACAAGCGTCTGTGTGATCTGATACCAATGATCAAAGAATGTAAGTAAAAATCAAGCGTTTATACGAAAAATACGGGTACTGCTTCTGTACGGGAACTGCTCGCATGCCAGTACACTATAGTCTATCAGGATAATAACGCTTTATCAGAAATTTGTGCTTTACTTTATAGGCGGGGCTTATTATGCTAAATGTTCTATCCCATGATTCAAATTATCAAATAAATATTTTTCAGTACTGTATCCAATAAATATTTTTAATTATACAATATATATTTTCAAAAATAGAACATACACGTATATATAGAAAATTATCGCACAAAAATATTTTTGACGAACAAAATTTTTTAGTAGGATACAGTACATGTATAACATATAAAATTAGAGTTATACAATATAGATAGTGGTTATAGACCAAAAATTAAATATATTGAATAATGCAACTTTTAACATGCCATAGATTGATAAATAAACAATGTTATAGCCAGTTACAAAATAAGAGAGGCTCATTAATTTGACCTTGATGGTCAAGGTCAATTACAGGTCAAGGTCACATCTAAATTATTTATTATTTTTGTTTGGTCACAAGTCTTGTTTTGTCAAAGTGTAAACCAAATTCATACAGACATGACAAAATTATTCGAAAAAGAGCTAAAAATGTAACTGAGACAATTTTATAAGTAACGTCAATTTAGAAAATGATGCACCAAAGCAAAGTTGGGTTCTTAATAAAAAGTTCCTACCTGCTTCCTTTTAGTATAATATCACCAATTTTAATACAATAAAGTTTTAAATATGTTAATCAATATTATACGGATTTAACTCAATACAGGATTGGAGCAGTACCTCTAGACGCTTGCAGAAATTATGATCACAAATAGACAAATATCGTTTATTTTTTCGTCGATTTTTACATTTTTCAGTCATACATAAATCGGTGTGAAAAGATAAAGATAAATTCATTCCGTTGGGTAAAAAGGCAAGATTTTAGCATTTTATCATTCAAGCGCCTTGTCCGGTATATACCGGAATACGGTATTTAGTGTGGTGCTCCAATCCTTTTTTTAGTCTCACTCATATTATACATGATAATTATAAACATTGACAAAACACAAAAGTTGCCTTTAAATTGGTTGTCAGGTTTTCACTTTCATTTATGCTCTTAAAGTTATATTCCTGGGAAAAGTTGTTATGTTGGTTCAAGTATAATATCATGGCCACTATATGCCCTTTTTCACAGCTATTAATTTGATTTACTATAAAGATTTACTATAAAATATTTTGGTCTGTTTACATACCATAGTGTGACTTGTTTAGGCTATATTTGCACAGATTCAAGGTTAATTGTACATCTTCTGCATTATTTTCACATTTCTGTGTTACCGGATATGCAGTGTATAAGTTGATAAAATATTAAAAGACTAGAAATGTGTCATCATGCCACGGATGCCCCCGCATGCAGCCAAAATTTCAGATGTTATAATATTTAGTTCCAAATTTGTTTGCACAAATTATTTTTTTCATTTGCAGTTCAAAGCCCTTAAAACTTTTCAATGTTAACACAAACCATTTTCATACAATGTTGAAGGCACTGAAATTATTCAGTCTTAACCTTTTGAAAATAGCATATTTCATATTTGTAGCCAAAATAATGGCTACATACATTTCCACAAAAGTATGAATGCTGAAACTGAAAGTTCAAAATTTTTCCAACATTCAAGAAAGATAAGTTTGTCCAAAATCATTGAACCACGACCAAATTCAAACTTAAACTGCTTATTCCTAAGATGTATCTATATTATTTTCAAAGTGAAAGGGACATAACTCTGCCAAAAAATCATCGCACCATGACCAAATTCCAACTTGACCTGCCCATTCCTTTGCCATATCCATATGTCAAATTTGAGTTGAATATGTAACACTGTTGGGTAGATAATGAACAGAAACTGTAAATTAAATATTATTTTCAAAGTGAAAGGGGCATTACTATGCCAAAAATCATTGAACCATGACCAAATTCAAACTTGGCCTGGGCATTCCAAAAACATATCCATATGTCTAATTTGAGTTGAATGTGTTGTACTGTTGGGGAGATAATAAACAGAAACTGAAAATTTCATATAATTTTCAAAGTGAAAGGGGCATAACTCTGCCAAAAAATATTGAACCACGACCAAATTCGAACTTGACCTGGGCATTCCTTTGATGTATCCATATGTCAAGTTTGAGTTGAATGTGTTGTATCGTTGGGGAGATAATGAACGGAAACTGAAAATTTCATATTATTTTCAAAGTGAAAGGGGCATAACTCTGCCAAAAATCATCAAACCATGACCAAATTTGAACTTGACCTGTATTTTCTCACGACATATCCATATGTCAAATTTGAGTTGAATGTGTTGTACCTTTGGGGAGATAATGAACAGAAACTGAAAATTTCATTTTTTTTTAAGTAAAAGGGGCATAACTCTGCCAAAAATCATCGAACCATGACCAAATTCGAACTTGACCTGTATTTTTTCATGACATATCCATATGTCAAATTTGAGTTGAATGTGTGCAACCGTTACTAAGATAATGAACGGAAACTGATGATGACGGTATGACAGAATGACGGAAGGACGGAATGACGGAAGGACGGAACAGGGTAACACTATATGCCCCGGCCATTACATGGCGGGGGCATAAAAATTTCAGCCGTTTAAAAGTTATGGAGTGGACACGAAAGTGTTACGAACAGTCAGACAGACTGAAGATTGAGGCCATTCCTATAATTCCCTTTCTGCTTTGTGGAAGGGGATTAAAAAATATTTTTATCACAAAATGTATATATATATATATTATAGATCACAGAAAAAATATTTTAAGTGGACATGAAATGTAAACCTTTCAACACTTGATCTTTAAGTGTGACCTTGACCTTAGGGGTGGAAAACTAATTATTGTGCTCTGCACATTGTCTGATAATGGTGATCACCTGTGCCAAGCATTTTTTTTTTTTTAATTTAGAGGTTAAAAGTTATTGAGCGGACATAAAATGTAAATTTTTTATTATGAAATGAAGACTTTAACATTTGACTCTTAAGTGTGACCTTGACCTTGGGTGTAGCAACCAAATTTTTGCGTTATACACACCGTCTCATAATGGTGATGACTTGTGCTAAGATATTTCAAAACTAGAAATGTGTCATCATGCCACGGATGCCCCCGCATGCAGCTAAAATTTTAGATGGTGCATTAATTATTTTTTTCATTTTAAGTTCAAAGCCCTTAAAACTTTTCAATGTTAACACAAATCATTTTCATACAATGTTCAAGGCACTGAAATTATTCAGTCTTAAAGGGAGACACAGGCAAAATTTTCATTTCTTAGTTTTGAATTTTTCATTCATTATTCTGTAAATGTCCTCAAAATGAATACACTAAACAGTCAAAGGAACAAAACTTTTCTCCATATAAAGAATAAAATGGTGTTTTCCTAACTTGACCCGCGTGGGTCAGGTTAGAGCCCTAAGATTTCATAATAGTTGTCACTGTGCACTCTAGAAACGTTCAAGAACATGTCAAATCAATTACTTAGACTTGTTTCAATCATACAATATCCACAATACCTGTTATTGTAACAGGGTTTATTCAAATCACATGACTTGTTTTTAAACTATTCGCTCATTCTGTTGGCGTCTTAATTTCGTTCAACATATATAGATATATTTAAGCTTTAAACCCTAAATATATAGAATTTATACAGAAATTCATGCTGGGACTTTAAGAAATGTCATTTTAGTGTGATTTCAGTACACAAGATCATTTTTATATTTTTGTCATTATTTTGCCTGAGTATCCCTTTAACCTTTTAAAAATAGCATATTGCATATTTGTAGCCAAAATAATGGCTAAAAGTATGAGTGCTGAAACTGAAAGTTCAAAATTTTTCCAACATTCAGGAAAGATAAGTTTGTCTAAAATCATTGAACCACGACCAAATTCAAACATAAACTGCTTATTCCTAAGATGTATCTATATTATTTGCAAAGTGAAAGGGACATAACTCTGCCAAAAAATCATCAAACCATGACCAAATTCCAACTTGACCTGCCCATTCCTTTGACATATCCATATGTCAAATTTAAGTTGAATATGTAACACTGTTGGGTAGATAATGGACAGAAACTGTAAATTTCATATTATTTTCAAAGTGAAAGGGGCATAACTCTGCCAAAAATCATTGAATCATGACCAAATTCGAACTTGGCCTGGGCATTCCAAAAACATATCCATATGTCAAATTTGAGTTGAATGTGTTGTACCATTGGGGAGATAATAATCGGAAACTGAAAATTTCATATTACTTTCAAAGTGAAAGGGGCATAACTCTGCCAAAAATCATTGAACCATGACCAAATTTGAACTTGACCTGTGCATTCCTTTGATGCATCCATATGTCAAGTTTGAGTTGAATGTGTTGTATCTTTGGGGAGATAATGAACGGAAACTGAAATTTCATATTATTTTCAAAGTGAAAGGGGCATAACTCTGCCAAAAATCATCGAACCATGACCAAATTGGAACTTGACCTGTATTTTCTCATGACATATCCGTATGTCAAGTTTGAGTTGAATAAGTTGTACTGTTGGGGAGATAATGAACGGAAACTGAAATTTCATATTATTTTCAAAGTAAAAGGGGCATAACTCTGCCAAAAATCATCGAACCATGACCAAATTCGAACTTGACCTGTATTTTCTCATGACATATCCATATGTCAAATTTGAGTTGAATACGTGCAACCGTTCTTAAGATAATGAACGGAAACTGATGATGACGGAATGACAGAAGGACGGAAGGATGGAATGACGGAACAGGGTAACACTATATGCCTTGGCCATTACATGGCGGGAGCATAAAAATATCATAGTACAAATTCTGTTCCACAGTCTGTGGTGGCTCCCATTGCAATGCAAAATAATTGGTAACAGGAATTATGTTGTATAATATCAACCTACCTTCAGAGGGCTCTTCAACAATACTTGTCTGGCTGCTTGGCCTAGATTTAAACAAATACCCAAACCTAACACTTGTCCCTGAAAATATAAACTTAAAATATTTAATATTGATAGAGTATATATAAACTTAAAATATTTAATATTGATAGAGTATATACATGTATATGTAAATATAAAATATTCAAACATTAAGAAACTGAATATGTAATAGATGCATCTTTCCTAATTCAGATTCAAAGCATATAAAACATTTAACAAGAGCAACAATAAGGCAGGGCAATATATGCAAGATTGAAAATAATCTTTCAATTAGGGAAGTGACAGATTCACCAAACTTGACAGAAAATTAATTTATCTTAAATATCCTTAAAATACTATAAGACCCCAAGGATGAGAGCATTTTTGGCACTAGGTGCATGTTTCATAAAACTTTTGTAAACGTCTACTAGGAAATGCTACGTGCAAAAAAATTTAAGCCCTCAGATTGGCAGTTTTCTGCAAAAACATTTTTTGGTTGAATTTAAAATGGCACCAACACAGTAGGTCATATGGCGACTTTTCAGCTTTACTGGTGAAGAACAAGAAGATTGCATTTGTGAAACATGCTATGCCACCGCATTAATACAACACTAAATAGTAGTATAGGAACAGAATTTTTTTCATTCCTATACAATTGAAGATTGCCATAATGCATAGATCCCTGACATATCTAATTCTTATTATCAGATAAGTGGTTAAATCTATTGTTAATCCAATAAAAGATCAGAGTAGGAATCTATCAATTTCACATGGCCTAAATTTCATGACTGTACATCAAAGGACAACAGAGTAAGACACTTTGCCAAAATCTAGGTCAGCTGATATCAAAGTTCACTTTCATCTTAATCTGTGCACATGGTTCAAATTTCATAGCTGTAAATCAAAGGACAAGAAAGTAGGTCACATCATCAAAATCTAGGGCACCTGATATCAAAGTTCAATTTTACAACTAAAACTGTGCAAATTGTCCAAATTTCATGGCTGTTGTCAAAGGACAAGAAGGTAGGTCACTGTCCCCTTAGGCAAAATTTTGACCCAAGTGTTTAATTCAGACAATTTTGATACAGGTCCACAAAACAGCGTATTATGTCAAATATCTAAGCTGAAGCTTTCTCTTATTCAGAAAACATTTGTTTTTTACTAATATGTACATAGTGGAAATCAATGCCACCCAGGCAGGGCCAATTTGTCACCAGGGGTAACATTTGAACAAATTTGGTAGAGGACTTATAGATGATATCATAAAGCAAACATCAAAGTTCTAGGCCTTGTACCTTCAGACTAGAAGATTTTTTAATTTTTTACTATTATGTACATAGTGAAAATCAATGACCCCCGGGACAGTGCCAATTTTGACCCCAGGGCTATAATTTGAACAATCTTGGTAGAGGTTCACTACGCAAAGTCTCATGCCAAAAATCTAACCTCTGGCCTTTGTCAATTTAGAGAAGAAGATTTTTTAAGGTTTTACTATATACATATAAGGAAAACTTTGGCGTCTGGGGCAGGGAATTTTAACACTAGGGGCATAATTTAAACAACTTTGGTAGAGGACCCATAGGTGATATTATATACCAAATATCAAAGCTCTAAGCCTTGTACCTTCAGACAAGAAGATTTAAAAAAAATTTACTATTATGTACATAGTGAAAATCAATGACGCCTGGGGGCGGGGCCAATTTTGACCCCAGGGCTATAATTTAAATAATCTTGCTAGAGGTTCACTACACAATAATTCATGCAGAATATCTAACCTCTAGCCTTTGTCAATTTAGAGAAGAAGATTTTTTAAGTTTGTACTATATACATTTAAGGAAAACCTATGACTCCTGGGCCGGGGTTAATTTTGACACTAGAGGCAAAATTTGAACAACTTGGGTAGAGTTACTATAGATGATATCCTATACCAGATATCAATGCTCTAAGCCTTGTACCTTCAGACAAGAAGATTTTCTAACTTTTTACTCTATGTACATAGTGAAAATCAATGACCTCTGGGGCGGGGCCAATTTTGACCCCAGGGCTATAATTTGAACAATCTTGGTAGAGGTCTATGCTCTAGGCCTTGTGGGTCTTTACAAGAAGATTTTTAAAATTTATTCTTATTTTTCCTTTTGGTTGCCAGGGCAACCAGATTTCTGCACGGAATAAAATTCTTTGAACAACTTTGGAAGCCCTTCACCCAAGGATCAATCCTGCCAAGTTTGGATGAAATTGAACAAGTGGTTTTTCACAAGAAGATTTTTTAAGTTCACTATATAATCTATATAACACACATACAAACACACACACACAGGCGAATCACTATATGCCACCGCATGCAGATGCTGCAGTGGCATAAAAACCTCGGGTGTCCCTCCATGCTTTATTTCAGGCACGAGCAAACACCTGAGTAGAACCACTGACACTCCATCTAGTTAGCTAGATACTTAAAGAATCCATAGTACCTGGCAGAATCCAAACCTACAGTGATGAGGGGCAAGTGTTTTGAAGTCAACGACCATAACCTCTTGGCTACAGAAGCCCCAAGCAACAGACTGGACGTGTTTTCTTAAATATCATAAAGATCAGCTCATATAAGGCATCTGACTTGGTCTTCTTGGTCTTGCATATGACACATCCTCTCATCATGCTTAACATTTATGCCAAACTCTTATAAAAATCCCTTGATGTATGAAAGAGTTATGAACCAGAAAAGATTTTCTATCTGTTGACCTTTGACCGTAAGTGTGACCTTGACCTTTGATCAAAGGGTCTAGGTGGTGCACATGACTTACTGTCTCATCATGCCTACATATAGGTCAAATTGTTTTAAAATCCCTTGATGTATGTTATTAGACGGATAAGATCTTTAAACTGCTGACCTTTGACTTTGGAACTACAGGTCTAAGTCTTGTGCATGACATACTGTCTTATTATGCTTTACAGTTGAAATAAAGCTTTAATCTGAAATTTGGACATGGATGCAGACTCCAATATCAGAGTAAAACAAGAAACATGGCAATGCCATGAAACCAGGTTTTCAATTATCACCATTGTAGATAAATATGTTGTATTTGAAATACAAATACAAGCAACAAACAATGTAACTATGTGCAATGTAAAACATGAATAATGTAGGAGGAATTGCGCACAGAAGAAGTGTTCACTATATATATTCTATATAAGGAAAAAAAACAAAGGGCCATAATTAGGTAAAAAATTATCCAATCACAAAAAAACCCCGACAATATGTGCTAGGGCACTTGATGACAAAGCTTCTGTGAAAGTTTGAACAAAATCCGTTGAGAAATGTAGGAAGAGTTCAGCACAGAAGAATTTGTTCAATTCTGTATAAGGAAAAAAAACAAAGGGCCATAATAAGGTCAAATATTATCCGATCACAAAACCCTGACAATATGCGCCAGGGCACTTGATGACAAAGCTTCTGTGAAAGTTTGGTCAAAATCCGTTGAGAAATGTAGGAGAAGTTACGCACTGTAGAAATTGTTCACTATATATTCTATATAAGGAAAAAAAACAAAGGGCCATAACTAGGTCAAATATTATCTAATCGCAAAACTCCGACAATATGCGCCAGGGCACTTGATGACAAAGCTTCTGTGAAAGTTTGGTCAAATTCCATTGAGAAATGTAGGAGGAATTGCGCACAGAAGAAATTGTTCACTATATATTCTATATAATGAAAAAAAACAAAGGGCCATAATTAGGTCAAATATATACCAATTGCAAAACCCTGACAATATGTGTCAGGGCACTTGATGACAAAGCTTCTGAGAAAGTTTGGTCAAAATCCGTTGAGAAATGTAGGAGGAGTTGCGCACAGAAGAAATTGTTCACTATATATTCTATATAAGGAAAAAAAACAAAGGGCCATAATTAGGTCAAATATTATCTAATCGCAAAACCCCGACAATATGCCCTAGGGCACTTGATGACAAAGCTTCTGTGAAAGTTTGAACAAAATCCGTTGAGAAATGTAGGAAGAGTTCAGCACAGAAGAATTTGTTCAATTCTGTATAAGGAAAAAAAACAAAGGGCCATAATAAGGTCAAATATTATCCGATCACAAAACCCTGACAATATGCGCCAGGGCACTTGATGACAAAGCTTCTGTGAAAGTTTGGTCAAAATCCGTTGAGAAATGTAGGAGAAGTTACGCACTGTAGAAATTGTTCACTATATATTCTATATAAGGAAAAAAAACAAAGGGCCATAATTAGGTCAAATATTATCTTATCGCAAAACCCCGACAATATGCGCCAGGGCACTTGATGACAAAGCTTCCGTGAAAGTTTGGTCAAATTCCATTGAGAAATGTAGGAGGAGTTGCGCACAGAAGAAATTGTTCACTATATATTCTATATAATGAAAAAAAACAAAGGGCCATAATTAGGTCAAATATATACCAATTGCAAAACCCTGACAATATGTGTCAGGGCACTTGATGACAAAGCTTCTGAGAAAGTTTGGTCAAAATCCGTTGAGAAATGTAGGAGGAGTTGCGCACAGAAGAAATTGTTCACTATATAGTATATATTCTATATATAAGGAAAAAAAACAAAGGGCCATAATTAGGTCAAATATTATCTAATCGCAAAACCCCGACAATATGCGCCAGGGCACTTGATGACAAAGCTTCTGTGAAAGTTTGGTCAAAATCCGTTGAGAAATGTAGGAGGAGTTGCGCACAGAAGAAATTGTTTACGCCCGCCGCCCGTCCGCCCATCCACCCGCCGCCCGCCGACATACCTCAATATTCTATATAAGGAAAAAAAACAAAGGGCCATAATTAGGTCAAATATTATCTAATCGCAAAACCCCGACAATATGCGCTAGGGCACTTGATGACAAAGCTTCTGTGAAAGTTTGAACAAAATCCGTTGAGAAATGTAGGAAGAGTTCAGCACAGAAGAATTTGTTCAATTCTGTATAAGGAAAAAAAACAAAGGGCCATAATAAGGTCAAATATTATCCGATCACAAAACCCTGACAATATGCGCCAGGGCACTTGATGACAAAGCTTCTGTGAAAGTTTG